CCAGAAATCATAGCATCGAAACTGCAGTGTTTGAAAAGGAATTCATCTCCAGGGTTAGGTAATATCCATCCCCTTATCAACCTGGCGATTAACTCAATCACTAGGCGAACTATTCCAACAAATGTTCAACAAAACTGTGCTCCCACAAACATGGGAACAAGGAACAATTTCTCCGATATACAAGGGTGGTTGTCGTAGTGACCCAGCTACCTCCCCGTATGTTTCAAAATCAGGTAGTCCATTGTTGCAAGCAATGCGATGAGTCACTTGGAAAAGTACAACGTTTTATTCCCTGCTCAACATGGGTTTCTTCACAGGTGATCGTGTATCACTAACGTGCTTCTGGCCCGAGAAGAATGGACAAAAGCAACTGATCACGGTGATGCAGTGCACGTTGTATACCTCGACTTGTCCAAAGCATTCGACCGAGTGAACCACAAAATACTGCTGAGGAAGCTACACAACTATGGGATTCGGGGATTTGTACTGGTCTGGATCGAAGAATTTCTACAACAACGCACCATGGAAATTCGCGTTTCTGGGTCACTTTCTGATCCCATCAGCGTATCACGAGGAGTTCCACAGGGATCCGTGCTTGATCCTCAACTGTAGCATTTCTTGGTGCATTAACTTGTCTTTTCGCTCCAAATTGGTGCAGTGGTTTCGAATTTGACAGTAGGTATACCATGTGTTGTTGCAAGTAGATCGTTTATAAGCTCTCCATGAGATATCCCTCTGCGAAATCCACTTTTTTGTCCGACATCGAAACGCACATCTTTGATCAGTTGAGTAAGTGATGCGTTTGTTCTTCGTCGCGCCCTTCACCATTTCCGTCAGATGATTTGTAAATTCTTTCCGGGATACCAGGGGATCACATGGTTCGTTGGAAAATTTCCATTGGAAATCTCTCGTCAAAATTTTAAGTTTCGTGTAGTCAACAAACATACAGGAGCTAACCGTAGAATTATTTTGTACGGCTGCATAGCAAATGTCGTCAAACATCAACACAGCATGATCACTACGCCCTAATGGATTTGTAGTTGAAATCGCTTCCACTATCAGTTCCTCGTTAGCTAAAACCAAGTCCAGAACCGACGGTGACTGGTTGGCTCCATACCTCGTGGGCTCCCTCACAAAATTGTAAAGTGGGATTCCATAAGCTGTGCGAGTTTCCTCTGAAACGGTTGTAGAGAGGTCGCTGATTTAGCTAGGTTTGGGCAATTGAACTCGCCCATAATGAAAACATGTGTGAATATCAGTGACAGAATGTGATACATGGTTTGCAATAGTGTCTCATTGGCTGAGTCTGTGGATGAGGGAAAGCGGTACACTACACCGACCAAGCCGATATCGCGTTGCGACAGTCGTACTTTGCACCACATTGAGTCAGAAGCCACAACAGGGTAATAATATACCTCGCAATGTAGTTTGCTGCTAAGGTAGAGTAACACCACACCCCTTGTAGGTCGATCGCGTCTGAACAAAGTCATGCCGGGTAAGTGTCACCCGTGATGGGACACTATGTTCTGGTGGATGCATAATTTCACTGCTAGCCTCGTAAGTTTTTAACTGCTTTAGAGTTACTGACTAGTGTCAATTTCAATGTTTGACTCTATGCATTTGGTACACTACACTACACGATCAAACTACTGCCCATCCCACTTTTCAGACAGTGATCATGGATCAACAACGTATTACAGATATTGGTGCACACCTTTCCCTTATTGTCAAACTGTCCTCGTTGGTTCTAGTGGTGTGCAACTATGTGGCCTTTAATGCCACTCGCATTTTCCCCAGCACCTCATCCGTTCGACTGGACTCCACCATCATGCCCGAGCTGAAACAGTCGCTCTGTCGTTCAGGTTTACTTGCCCTGACTACCGACCAGAAAGAGTAAGTGAGATTCATGCAGTTGTTTTTGAGGGTCTTTATCGTTCCATTTTTTACAGTTGGTTGATTTTGTACCGTTTCACTTTATATTGGGTTTATATCAGAACTACCATCTTTGCGGGTTGAACTAAGTATCAATTTCCCAAACAAATAGCTAGCAGTTGGTGACCTGTACTGTTTTGATCCTGTCGTTACGATATCTGAGTACATACTCTAACGAAGCAGTCTCTTCACACAAAATAGTGAATGCCATCCTTCGAGCAGTCTTCAGCCAAACAAAATCTGTTTTGCGTTTGATGATTTACCGCAACGCGCAATGTGCTTGGCTTATCAGGATATGCATGTATTCGGGAGATGAGTGATTCTAGTCAACAATCGTTCGACCGGATTGATTCGCACAAGTCTGCCCCATCAACCCCCTTCATATCTGACGAGTTTCCCCAGTGTGATGTTCCTAGATAGACGAAACTAAGTCGAACGAACGTGCAAACTCACTTAGTCCGTGTCACATAAGCGCTCATTGACTTTAGACAACCATAATGCACGATTCACTGACTCTCCCTTGGTTACCATTCACCGATGAATATCTATGAATAATATGCACAACGCCTGGCATAATTAGGGACCAGTGTATTGCTTAAAACTGATTGAGGCTATCATGCCTGACAGACAATCGAAACAAAGTCATCAAGGGAATTTAGTGGTGCACATGATGAGTACCTAGTTATTGACACGTCCCTTAGAAACCTCTCCGACATTCTATCACTCGCGGGCGCGCGCGCGCGCCCCTTTTGGCCATTATTCAATCGAATCTTACAAAAGTTTGTCTCTGTGTGGGCACCGCAGATAATGATACATTTGTAAAGTTCTTATACAACATAAGCGATGAGTTGTCGAGGCATGGTTTCTCAATATTGAATTCGAATGATTATCATCCGGTATAAACACTTTTAATGTGCGTTTTAAGTAAAATCACCGTGCATTTGTGCCATCAGTTCTACTCCG